ATAGCCTTTTCTCTCGTTTCGCTTTGAACTCTCATTTAATATCAGTTCTATTGATAATGTTATTAGCCGACGAGCATCGAAGGAATGTCATCAACGAATAATAGGAGAAATGCGTCAATCGATGGAACTCGAGGGATAAAATAGTAGTCAAATAACGAATGGAGAGGAAAGGCCACTCATCATTTTTATGCTCCTCATTCTCATAACTTCCCTTTTTACTCTTTCCCCTTTTCTGTCAAGATGATGTTAAATGTTGACCCACAGGTAGAGTAGAAGGGTAAAATTCAATATTCGATAAAAGATGAAAATAAATTTCAATCAAACGCTGATGTTATCGAATTTAATTCAGATACCTTCCTCACAATTATTGATATGAATAATTTTCTAATTTGAAAAACCCTCAAATTGAAATGATGTATTATTAGGGGTATCGAACGACGATTGCCGAAATTCCCAGAAGGTTGATTTTAAAAATTGATTGTTAAAATATGAAATATCAAGAGTTTTTGTGTCATATCTCAAAGGTAAAAAATGAATAAATTTTACGTGTCTCTACTCTGCGATATATTTCCCATCAATAGATACCGTGGAATTTCCTCAAGTCGTGCATCGAAAAGATGTAAACACAAATTTATGAATAAGATAACGTTCACTCCATATTTACACTATCTTACGGGATATTCCCTAAGACAGTGGGAAAGGCCAGCATCATAATCCCGTAAAGTAATGAGAGAAAAAATCATTACATCAATATCAATCCCAAAATAACCAAAAGTTTTCCAAAATTTCAGTAATTCAGAGAGAGTGCAAGCCACAATAACTATCGACAAAGAAAAAAAGAAACTCCATCAGAAGAAGACCTGCTTTTTGTTTATTAAAAATAAATAAGGCCCTCAAGAGTACTTTTACCATTAGAAATGTAAACAGTCAATTTTTGAAATTGTTAGCGTTAGTTATTGCTGGATGCACCCGCAGAATGACCAGAGGAATTTTAGATTTGAAAAAAATTGAGTTGTATCTATCTAACCGAAACGTGATGAATGAATAGAGTAACAAATTAACAGGTAGATAATGATAATAAATAAAATAATAAACTCACTCGTCGCGGCAGAAAATCGAGGCACTTCACCTGCGGCTGCTTCCCGCAATAATTCCAGCGCCCGTTCGATCGCATCCGATCGCGTATACGATTTTCTTTCCTTATTCCGTTGTTATCTCCACAATGCACTTCACGAGTAAACGTAGACAAAAGAAATTAAAGAGTTGTTCAAGAATTTCCCTCCAATCAATCGTCACTCGGTGTAAACGGTGTCGATCTAAAAGAATAAAATGAACTCCGATTGCTTTATTGCTACCGATAAAACACCGATAAGTGACCAAATAATATCCAAAAGAGCATCTGTCCAAGTGGAGGAAAGTGATTGAAAGCACCGGTTGGAGTGTACACGATACCGAGGTTTCATGTAACGATTTATCGCGTCGACTGAGAGTTTTAAAGGCTCATTTTTTCAACTGGGTGGAGGGGAAAGAGTTGAAGATGTAACGGGTGAAGGCCGAGTAGGTGGGACTTGCCTTAAAAATCAAAAATTAAAATGAAAATAAAGAAAATACTGCATCATCGCAGTTTGCTATTGACATTGACTATTTTATCATGAGTTTCACCGTCAAAACAGTGACGAATGATGAACTCGAGAAATTCGAGAGACGTAATAACGGAAAGGAGGAAAAATAAAGCGAGGAAAAACATTAGCGAGAGAATGAGAAAGAGACTAAAAGTGTTTTCCTTCTCTGAATCTCCTTCCATCTCTCGTCACTCCTCTCATCCCCACTAACTATTCCGTTCATATGGCACGAGTCGAGTGACCTCGCTTAACAAATTCACGGTGACAAAAAAAAAATGACGATTTCACACCCCACACGAAAAAAAAAAA